CCAACATCCTGAACAAAGAGGCGAGGTTTATTTTCAAGGACATGACTAGTTTATAAGAAAATAGAATGCTTAGGTTTTCATATTTCAAAAGACTTTTCTTTCTTACCAACTACTTTAAAAAGTTCAATATTTACTTCTTCAGTTCTTTTAGCCATCTTGCAGTCCATCTGAAACTTTAAAAATATATAGTCATATCAGTGCTTGTTACCTGATTATGTACTCATAATTCGATCATTCATACTGGTTATTTCAAAAAGTATTTTTGAAGAGATTCTCCCAGAGGTGGTGGAGCTGGGCCCGTGTGCAGGCCTGTGGGAGAGCTGGGAAAAGGGGAAAGGGATGTGCTGCCTTTCAGGAGGTGACAGAACTCTCTCCAGCCCATTCCCACAGTACCTCCAGTGTAGCTTTTATCATGTGGAACACTCACGCAGAAATGACTTGTGACATATGTTAAGGCACCATATACCAAGTCAGTATTTCTGTCACTTGAGCAGGCATAGGGACCACCCCAGACGGCTGTTAAAACATACTTTTCTGGGGCCCATCCCCAGAGATCTGATCCAGCAGGTCTCAGGGTGGGGGTGCTGAGAATTTGCATTTTAACCTCAAGGGCATCTGCTGCTGCTGCTGTGCTCTGGGGAACCCCACTTTGAGAAGCAACACTCCCTGGAATGCTACCTCTCTGAGGCAGCTGCTCAGAATTTTTTTTTTTTTTTTTTTTTTTTTTTTTTTTCTTTTGTCTTTTTCCGTGTCCGGCAACGGATCGCAACCCTTAGTGTTGCCCCCGTACCGGACCGGGGACCGGCAACGGGATTGCAACCCTCGGTGTTGCTCCCGTGCCTCGCTCAGCCAGTGGCTGCTCAGAATTTTGACTAATCACATGTCACAGATCTAGAGAGATTATTCAGCAGAAAAGTTACCTGAAAATGAGTAAATCTATGCTGTGGAATAATAATTATATGCACTTTTCCATAAAGTTAGCTGAGACATAAAGTTATATGTTAAAACACATTAATAGCTCTCACTTCTTCTTCCTGGGACCCAGGGAGTATGCATCTGAGGGACAAAGAAATTGTCTGTTCTGCACAGGATTGTCCTTCCTCTCTTCTCCTATGGTCACACCGTCTTCTCCCAACCTTGCCCCGTGCAGAGGTGACCGTGCCCCTTGTCCTTGGCCCTGAGCAATGGCTGAGATTCTTGCTGCATCCTTCCTCCTGCATTTGGCTCCGAGCTCTCTTGGGGTACCCAGTCTTTAACAACTCACTCCAAGGAAAGTTTGTCTGCCTTGGTTTGCTCATGGTTGTCCCACTCGGGCTGTTCTGGGGCCCACGTTAAGATTATGAATAGGGACTGTGGACACAGAGGCCAGGCTGGCCATCCCTCCACTCACTCTCTGGTCTTCAGTGTCCTCCTCTGTAAAATGGAAACAACAAGAACAATATCAAGAGGTGCATGTGGTGGGAGTCAGAGTGTAGACCCCGACGCTGCTTTCCTGGGTTCAGATGCCAGTTCTGCCATCACTAGAAATGGGACGTTGGGTGAGATCCCCTGTCAGTGCCTCGCAGCACGAGTGTGCGTGCTGCACAGAAGAGGGAGGCAGAGCCGCCACAGTC